AATGTTTAGCCGCCTTTTTTTTAATTATTATTATTAAATTTGTATGTGAAAAAGTAACTCGGGACTGGTAAATGAGTCCATCTGTTTATCACTAGCAAAACTGCCTCGACTTAAAAGGGCTCTGAAGCAGCCTTTGCACTAAGTGGTGTGGTTTTAGAGTGGAATTCATATGGTTTAGACGAGATGCTTGTAATAGAAAGCACATTTGTATTATCTGGTCAGTAAACATAGAATCACAGAATGGTTAGGGCTGGGAAGGGCCTTAGAGATCATTCAGTGCCACCCCCTGCCATGGGCAGGGACACCTCCCACCAGCCCAGGTTGCTCAAAGCCTCATCCAGCCTGGCCTTGAACCCCTCCAGGGATGAGGCATCCACAGCTTCTCTGGGCACCCTGGGCCACTGCCTCACCACCCTCACAGTAAAGAATTTCTTCTTGATATCTAGTCTAAACAGGTTCATTGCATTTCCCCTTTCTTTTCACTCTAGACATTATTGCATGTAAAAGTGTGCACGCAAGTTCTTTATTTCCAACACCTAAAATCCTGCAATTAAAGCATGCCCTAAATGTAGTGGGAATGAGATGGAAAGAATTCTGATACAGTTCTTTGTCTTTAAATTCTTCTTTTCTCCCCAGATATGGCAATCTGCTCTAAGCACCCTGAATCCCAACCCCACCGACAGCTGTCCTCTCTACCTGAATTACGCCACTGTAGCTGCTTTGCCTTCCAGGGTCAGCCGGCACAACAGTCCATCTGCAGCTCAGTTCATCACCCGCCTGGTTAGAAATTGCCTCCCAGGAGGTGTCAACAGATGTATTGTTGTAAGTGGCTGTTTCAAAATGCTTCTGCTGAAATGTCAAGTATTTTCTCGGCTTGTCAGGATTTTATCTGTATTCGAGGAGACTGGAGGTGGGCAAGTTCTACCGATATAATTATACTGACATGTAGAAGTGGTTTTGCACTGACGCATAAACAAGACCTAACTATAATAGCTTCTGCATGCTTAGACAGTTGGAGAAGATTAAAGTTCTATATGTATGGAATGTCTTCAGCTAGGAATATCCATGCGAAGGGAACCAGTAGTGGCTTTTTTCGAACTAGGATTTATGACATTAGCACATGCTTTAGGAGACTGACATAGCCTGCGTGCAGGGTGCTATGTCTATATTGCATAACCCATTTAAAGTGCCTTGTTTGTGTCATTCCGTGAGTTTTTAAAGTCTTAGTGTAAGCTCATGGACCAATGTGAGTCCTTTTGCAAGATGAGCTCTTGGACTGCTTTGGTCATCTTCTGTATGAGCCTGATGAATTTGTTACTTGTTTCTATGTCTTCTCCAGATTAATTCAGATTTCTAGGTGGTTAGAGAAGTCTCATAGTCAGTGTCAGAAACAAAATTTAATTATACTCCTCACTTGGAAAACTTATTTGCAAGAATAGTAACTCTACTTTTTTTCCCTTATAGTTAACTTTGAAAACATTTAGCTAAAGCTGCTTTCCATTGGTAATTTCTCTTATGAACTTCAGAAAAATATTCTACACGTTAAAAAGCTTTTGGGTTAACAGTAATCACGTTCTAATATAATTTCTCTCCTTGTTTCATTTGTTTTGAACACATATTGATGGTTCCTATGCTTTTTTTTGTCTTGGTTTGTAGGCTAACCTGTGTTAATTGCACTAGAATGATTAAAGCAACCCAGCTGCCTTGTAAGGATGTATTAATTCCCACACAGTCAACTCCAGACGTGTAATTAATTTCCATATGGGAAATGGACTGAACCAGTTCAGTGTAGTACTGTTCATCCTGCCACTCTCCCCATGCAAAACATGACCTACGAGTATGTTTTGATACTGATGTCAGTTTTTTCCCACGCCTGCCCCTTTTTTCCCCCCTCCCTTGTCACCAGTAGTATCACAGGTAACAGCTCCTTTTCAATGGAGTCTTCCACATCCCTGATGTTGTCTGACTTGTCCTCTGGCTGCTGTTTCAGATGGTGTGCGAGCGGTCTGAAGTCTTCGCTTCTGCCTGTGCGCTGGCCAGGGCTTTCCCGCTGTTCACGCATCGGTCCAGTGCGTCAAGGCGCACAGAGAAGAAAACTGTAACGGTAGAGTTTTTCCTGGTTGGACAAAACAATGGACCAATAGAAGTGGCAACACTTAAAGTAAGATTTTAGTTTTTTCCGTCATCAGTTTTTTCTGTTGTTCCCTGAAATAATTATTTTCTTCAATTTGTTGCATGCACAAATACATGTGTCTCAGGCTACATATGGAACAGGTGTTATATCTAAAGTAAAAACTTATCCCAGGTCAAAGCTCCTTGAAATTGATCAGTCCATAGCACCCGTGAGTAGAAATATTGAACGTATTACTGCAGCAAAGGCTGGAGATGTTATTCAGAATTTAGATTTCAGGGGTGGGAATCACCAAACAAGTAGCACAAATAAAATTTCTCTTTTCTAATGTTTATTATATATGTAATAATGTATTTTTAGCCTCTAATGTTACATTGTCTTTGGTGTGTGGGCTTCTCACTTTCTTTTACCCTGGCAAAACCTGTATGTGTGCTATGCAGGTGACTCTTACGGTGGAGTCACTAGAAGTTGCTTATTCTGGGATCACATATGGCCTCTGATATATCTCTCTGATGTACGTCTTTGGCTGAGTTCCTCTAGCAGAACTATAGCCAGAAACAGCACTGTAAGAAACGATACAGCTTGGAGATGTGCATAGCAGTTAAGTATCTCCAAGTCACCTTTCAATAGCAGGTAATCAAAGACTATTTCCCTTGCACCTGACTGTTACAGAGGGGAAGCTCCACGTCAGGTAGCTTTCAGTCTGCTAGGTCATTCCTCTTCAAGATCCTAACTTAAATGCTATTCCAAGATTTGCACTTAAGCTGTGAGGCAGCTTCCTGCCCGGTGCTCCAGGTTCTGTGCCTCAGTACAGATGGACCCTCACGTAGCTGATCAGTCAGTGAGGTTATACAAATCCCTTAAAAATTTTGGCAATGGATTTGGCAAAGGAGGTGGTGTTCCTTCATATTAAATTTTCAGAATTGCAGCTTTAGGGTTTTTTTTTTCTTTCAGTATCTTTTCCTCCATACTTAGTCCTTACTCTATGAACGGAATTGGCCCCAGCAAGTGACACCAGACGTTTTCAGGAAAGTGACAAAGGCAGGCATGCTATGAGTACAACTGCTGATCGCTCCATTTTTCTATGCCTCAAATCAGAAAAAAGTGTCAAAACCAGTTCCTTCAGATAGGTAGATTCCAAACGCTCGGGTTATTTATAACTACAAAACAAAGCTGAAATGATTTCTGCCTCCTGTTCTTCCCCTTTATGTCAATGCCAGAACTGTTGCTGGCTTCCTCCAAGCTAAGTTTTCAACTCTTAAATTCAGCTAGTGCCAGATAGCTAATGTAGAGCATGGAAGAGGCACGTGGTAGGATTTTTTTAGTTAAACCTCTCCCTCAGCATGTTGCTGTATTTTGCACCTACTGCGTTGTCCAGGATATTTTATGGTGAGGACTAGCAGGGGTTGTCGTAGTTTTACAGGGCACTTACTAAAGGCTGCCATGATCTGGGTTCTCTTGGGTACCCTGGAAGCCAAACCCCGGCACAGCTTGTTTCTGCAAGTAGTATTGTTTCCCTCGGACTTGACCTTTGGGTTAGAGCACCTCCGTTTACCTGCATGGCCCAGCGGCGAATCACGCCAAGCCTGGCTTGGCTCCTGAGGAGGTCCTTTCCCCTCAGGGGAAGTAAAGCAATCAAAAGTAATTGTAGGGAGTCAGGCACCATTCCAAACCAAGCCAAGGTTTATGAGAAGGTTTATGCTGGGACATGGAATGTATAGAGTCCTTAGGCTAGTCTGGCCAAGCCAAACTGCAGATGCCTCAGCACGAAAAACTATCCAGCGCATCAGATTCCTTTGAAACCCATCCCGACTCACCCTGCTGCTGTGTGTGGTCTTCAGTGTAGCGTGGCTACTGGAAACTTTCTTCAGGCTTCCTTCCACCTGGTCTTTTTGCTTCAGGTTGTTGGTTCACAGGAGTTAAAAGTTGAAGCTTAGAGTCTGGTGCCCCCATTGTCCTTTTTGCCAGGAGGATCCTTCTGTAAAGAAACAGCCTCGGCATGCTCACTGTGGGCCGTTTTGATTGTGCCCACTCTAGCTTAGATAAGTTCTTCCTCAGCCAGGTGAGAGTCAGGCCGCTTTGCCGCAGGAGTGAGGAAACAGATGCCTGTATGTTTTGCACAAATATGGAATATGCCATGTTCCCCATGGCCTGCCGTATAGAGTGGCTCGTGGTAGCGATCCGTATTGCACTCAGCCACTCTGCCTGCGGTGTATAAACCCTGCGGTTCCCCATGTTGTAGATTGTGTAATCACTGCAGGTTTGCAACCCGAGCAGCCTCCAGGCTCATTGTGACTTCCTGCATTTGCTTCCTCTGATCCTTCTTTCCTTGTGTTCTTGGTCTCTCTTTGATAGTGGAGAAGGCTACTGATTTTGCAGTATCAGTTCACTGTGGGAGGGAATGCAGTTGCTTAGAAATGAGGGCGCAGGAAGAAATAACTCAAGCTTAACACATACAAAAAATAATGGTTATCTTAGTTGACTTTATTTAATACTGTACAACTGCCTGGGATTGATGCCAGTGAAGTGTTAGTGTGCTCCAGAGGAACCACACATCTGGTGTAGGCTACGCAGGACTAAATGCAAAGCTGTGCAAAAAACCAGCCAAACCGAGGCACCAGGTCTCAGGTGTCCTGGGTTCTTTTCATAGTGTCTGGCAAGTGCTGCAGAAGGAGTCAGACTGGCTGCTCGCATCGTGGACACGCCGTGCAATGAGATGAACACAGATAACTTCCTGGAGGTAGGTAAAACACCTGATGAGTAAGAGTTACTAATTGTAAGTCTAGACTACAGTAATCAAGAACTAGTGTTGCTATCTCTTAGCAAAACCTGTATGTCAGCATGAAGCACATGAAAGAACCTGTCCAAGGGTGCTGAGGCTGTTGCTTTGACCTTTAATTAATTTTGTAGAACTTTGGTAAGTTGGAAGGAGGTGGAGTGAGGTGAGGCGCTGGGAGTCAGAAGGCATGAGTTCTTGATCCAGTCGTGACAGTGGCTTCTTTGCCAGTGCTGGTGTTGTCTTAAGCCCAATGGTAATAAGTTTCTGAAATTATGGGACAGAAGTTGACATGTTTCCAAATGAGTTTTATCGTAAAGGTCTGGTAAGATGTTGAGAGTGAAAATATTCCTGTCCTGTTGCATCATTATTCAATAGAGTAAACAGTTGGCCTTTACCTCTGAAGACTTATTTTAATATCGGAGCTTAAAGGTCAAATTTGTATTTCATGCATGTAAGTCAAGGACATCTCAGTGGAATTAAGCCATTGGAAAACCAGCACCACTCCCAAAATTATGAATGTTTGTATGTGTGTGCATCCAAAAATCACACAAAACCCTTATGTGGGTAACCATATGTGTGGAAAGACACAAATGTGTCCTTCTGATGACTGACTGACAATGTCCTTTTTCTTTTAATGATTAAGGAAATCAAAAAAGTTGGCAAGGATCTTGGGATTACTCCTACCATTATTCGAGATGAGGAACTGAAAGAGAGAGGCTTTGGAGGTATATCTTGTTGAAAATTCAGCTTTATTTCATGGCAGTTAATTGGAATGTTTTGCCATCTCCATTGTAATGTTTATTTGCACATTTTTAAAACAGTTTTATTGCCCATAGTATTCTAAGATGTTTTACAGAAAACAGCCACAGATTGCTCCCCACAGTCTTTCTTCACCACAAGTGGTTTAATTCTGTTTCCTAGGTATCTACGGAGTTGGCAAGGCAGCTCTTCATCCTCCAGCCCTAGCAGTTCTCAGTCACACTCCAGATGGTGCTACACAGACCATTGCATGGGTGGGCAAAGGTATTGTGTATGACACCGGAGGGCTCAGCATTAAGGGAAAGGTACGTAAACACTTGTTCTTCTGCTGCCTTTGCTCACAGTGTTGTTTTCTGATGGAAATAATTTAGTTAATGTCTGTAGGAAACCAAACTATATTTATTTGAGTAAACACTTAATCTACTGTCATCCATATGGACACAAATTACCAGGGGATAAGATCAAATAGGATTCAAGAAACACTTTACAGAGCAGTTAAATAACTACCTGATATTTTGCCCCACTGCTAGGAGAAAGCTGGAAACAAAGATGTTTAGTTTCTGATTTTGGAGACAGATCCAAAACCCGTTTGAGTTGGCCTCAGTGTGCGTCTTGTAAACAACCTTTTTCTTTTTCTTTTCTAACAAATGGGCAGCAGGAGTTTAGTATTTTCCACTTCTAAGGCAAGATCCACCAATAAGCAGATGCATGTGTTCCATGTTTCTGTTAGGCTGAGCGCTGTCAAGACCAGAGTTACAGAAGCATCAGAAATACTAGTTTTAGCAGGCATTACTGGGAAATTCTCTTTTAAAGAAAAAAATTTCTATGGTTCTGTTTAAACAGACTACTATGCCTGGAATGAAACGAGACTGTGGTGGAGCAGCTGCTATTTTGGGTGCCTTCAAAGCCACTGTGAAGCAAGTAAGTAAGATGTGTTAATTGATATCGTGTAGCCCAGTATTGCCAAGGAGCAGTCTGGCTTTTGGATATATTCCCAGATATGGGAGCCAGGCTAATCCTGAAGTTCTGACCTGCCACTGCTGTTGGTGATCTTGAGCCACTCTGCTCTTTCTGCTATTTCAGGAGAATATTTCAAATCTTTACTGGGATCTTGAGAATTGTGAGAAATTCCTTGAGTGCTATTTTTTTTCTTTTTTTTGAGAGTCTTGAATTTCAGGGTTTGTTCTGTGGACTGAGTGGTTTCTAGTACCTTGAATCAGATTTATGCTTGAGTTATCCAGTGCTGATTTTGTTTAAACTGTGGGATTTGGAGCAGCTGCTGTCCCCTTAGCAAAGAAAGGGATGAGTGTCTCTGGGATATGAAGTCTGTCCACATTGCAAATCCTGTGCCAGTTCTGATATTAACCAACTGGGAAGGTGGCAGCTCTCGTCTTATCAGGAGCTGCTTGTTGGTTTGCTCGTGTGGTCAGAAAGTAGTGGAGCAGCTGAGAAGAAGCCAGGTATTGAAATACGAAGAATTAAAAAAATGCATATTGCACTTTAACAATATGAACTAGGGAAAAGAAGTGGCTGCTGCCAATAAAACTCTGCCCTCTCCACAAATCCAGTGACTGAGTCTTGCTGACAGAGCAGCTATTGCTTCCAAGGAGTGTCCAAAGTTCAAAGAACATTTACTGCTGCAGATTAATGCATAGATCTGATGGACGCTTTGTCCGGGGGATGGCCAGTGCCAGATTCCCATTTCTCAACCGTTTAGCTCTGTGCTTTGGCCCTAGCAGGATGTTTGATGTGGAAAGATTGTAAACTTCAGTTATCTGCAGAGTTTTAAAATTGAAAACAGATTTGTGAGCTGCATCCTAGGCAGAATAGCCAGCTTTCCCTAAGTCCTTCAGAAAGCTAGATCTCATGTTTGCAAGGGACAAGAGGTAGAACTTCCACAGTGCTTTGGGAGAGTCTGGGAAAGCCGTGGATGCAGTACGTTTTCTCGAAGATTCGATCCTTGTTTCCAGAGTAGTTTTGTGTGTAGTTACCTGCACTGAGAGAAGTTGTATTCCCAGTCACAGTAGGTGCAAATGTAAGGGATCTGTGCTTTCGCATGTGATTATCGTAACAATGAATAAAGTGGCAGTGAAATGTTTGGACAAACAGAGCCTGAAGAAGCTGTCACACCTCACAAGAAGTCTGCACACTTGTGTGTGAAAACAAAAGAATGATCTCGCTGCTTAATTCTACAACCTCATGTAAGAAGACCTGTTAACGAAATCCCTGCAGAAAATACATTCAGACAGGCAGTGGAAAGAATTTGTTGTTGTTACTGCTTCAAGACTTTTTTTAAATGCACTTAAGAATAATACAAAGCTGGAAGAGGTTTAAATTAGCTATGCTTTGTCACAAAGACTGAAGTTGGAAACGTGTGTTGGATAGAAAGCTCAGTGGGAAGAGGGGCAGAGGTTATTATCCATCTTCAGAAAATATCTGCCTACATGCTGTTCAACAGTTTCACAACATGATTTAAAAAAGCATTGGACAGCAAAATTAAGCAAGTGGTTTTTTTTCTAGAAAAAAGCATTTCATCCGTTGTGAGCTTTCCAACACAAGGGAGAAGAGAAAAACATTCATTTAAATTTTTTGAATCCTCCTTGATCCAGCGTGTTTACATAGTGAATCCTGCTTTTGAAGAGCTACAGACAGAATGAGATTCAGGGAAAGGCAACTGATACTGGAAGTGGGTTTTCACTTTTTGACAGTACATTAACCACATCTCCCAACGGGAGGAGGAAAATTTAGTGCAGTCCAGTGAGGGACTGTGCATAGAGTGGGAGTTTTGTTGCACAGGCTGTTTTGGAAGAGCAAAGGGTCACAGATGGGAGGTTATCTCATCACCAGTGCTGTTTGCCTGCTGGCTGGACTGGAAACTGCAAAGTTGCCTTATGGCTTCGAGGTGCTGCCCGTTATTTTGAAAGGTTTTGATTGATGCATTTGCCCTTTAGATTTCAGAACATGAGCTGATTCAGCAAGCCCAGATTTCTTCAGCTACAGACTTTTATAAAGAGATTAACAGTAAAACTGACCCTGGTTTCCCTAGGAATTTGATGTTGTTAAGGCCAGCTGTCCCCGTTGAGGAGGAACTGTGTTTTTATTTGTTAAATGCCGCTGTCTCCTGTTCTGTTCCTAGGATCTCTCCACACAATGCAGACTTTGTATAAATAACAAAATCATCATACATTTTAAAATACCATCCATAACCATATAAGCACCTGATTTTAGTTTAGCGACTGAAGGTTTGTTTTTGGTGAGCCTGGCTCCTGTTGAGCTTACTGGGCTTTGGAGTTGTGCTTAGGAAGATTTTGCTGGAGTTGGCTGTCAAGTGCCTAACGTGCTCTGCCCAGGGCATCGGTTCTGACTAAACATCAGCCCCTCCAGTTGCATGTGTGCTGCGTATAGAGGATATTTTAGTTCAGACACCTTGGCACTGAGAGAAGATTGTACTGATCGCTGGTCAGTTGATGGAGGGTTTCTAGATCCCTTACCTGTTTGTGTCTCTCGTGTGTGTAGGCTTTCAGTCACTCTCCAGCGAGAACTTTCAAACCAGTGTTACGTGTTACCTCCTCCTCGCTTTCTGCAGCTCTTTGCCTCAGCTTTGGGATATAAGGCATTCATCACAGAGTCCCCATGTAATTAATGGCATTGCTGTCAAGAGGCTGTAATCCCTCATTGATTTCAGTCCCAATAAATTAGCTTGATGTGAGTCAAACCCCATTTCTCTCCTGTTGTTGTTACAGGGTTTTAAAGACAATCTTCATGCTGTTTTTTGTTTGGCCGAGAATGCAGTCGGACCACGCGCAACAAGACCTGATGACATTCATGTTCTTTACTCTGGAAAGTAAGATTGTACCTATCGTTTTCACAGAAACATTGAGAGGAAGCATCATCTTTGATTCTGTTTATCTGCGTGCCATGCAGATTGTGAACCTGTCCCTCATCAGCTTCCCCAAATACTGATAGTAGTATTTCAGACAGCCGTAGTAGTGAGTTATAAGTGCGCTTAGAGTTCCCGTTGGGTGTATAAATGCACATCAAAATACATATTGTACATCATGAGCTGAGGTTTCTGTAAAGCACTCAGGTTTTCACATTTGTTCCAATACAGCCTGTGTTCTCTGTCCATCTGTAGTCTACATTGCCTCCATCACAGAAGCAGGCTAGCGCTGTATAAGCATCTCTTGTTTTAAGCAGAGTGCAATACTTATTTGTATGGCAGTAGTTTGTGAAATCCCAGCTCGACATGCTGGGTGTTATACAGGCCCAACAAGTAGATCTGAGCAGGAGGGCAATACTGTTATAACCATTTTCCGTGTTTACTCTGTCCGGATGCTTGCAGCCGGGGAGTAAGCAGCCGTACAGACTTGCAGAGTCCAGTAAGAAAGCACACGAGATTGGAGTCTGCTTTCTCATCCGCTGTTCCAGTCCGGATGGATGAGTCTCAACAGCCTGAAGCACTGTTGTATTGAATGCCCTCTTTTCTTCCCAGAACTGTGGAAATCAATAACACTGATGCGGAAGGTAGACTGATACTGGCTGATGGAGTAGCTTACGCGTGCAAAGATCTTGGAGCTGATATCATTCTGGATATGGCCACTCTCACAGGAGCTCAGGTACTGGTACAGAACTGCTGGTGGACAGAGGGTGTGCAGCCTTCTCCTGTCTGCTTCATACACTTCTTTGCCTCTATCCTGCTAGTCTTTGGGGGAAGGTGGATACTGTGAACTATCGTGACTGATGGCCTCCAAAACTTGTGCAAGAGAAAGTTGCCAACAGCAAGCCCAGTAAACCGTAATGGCCTGTGCACGACTGTGAATGTGTTCCATTTGTAACTGCAGTACTCAAGCAGGGCTTTTTGTTCTTTGTGCAACTCTTATGCTTTTGCATACTTAAAGAAAAAAATTATTCTGATGACATTAGCAGCTGATGTAAGCGATCAGTATTCAATGTGTGCAATTCAGCAGCTTTATGATTAGCAGGACTGATATGATGACGGTGATTAGAAATTTTCTTGCCCATTAAATAGCTTACATTGTAAGTCATGCACAGAAAGTCACAAGTGTACAAATGTAATGCTGTTGTTTTTTGAAATCTATTACTGTTTTATAGAGGGTTATATTGATGAGCAGTGATCCTTGTGGTTTAATTTTCTGGAAAATGACTTGGTCTTTATATCAGGAGGAGAAATGGTTACAAATTTTAGAGGCATGAATGTTGCACATGTTGGTGTAAATGTCAACCCTTTGAAACTTTCGCATCATTGTCCTAATGGAAAACTGATGTACTGGCTCCTGGGGTTTGTATATTTGTAAGGGAGCAACCTTTTCCATGAATGAGGATGTTACGTTGAGACCGTTTATGTGAGTCGCAGACATTGCTGGGGTATTGTGTTAGATGTTTTATTTGTAGTTCATTGCTGATTTAATTTTATTTCTAAGGATAATTTCACTGCAGAATGGATTTTCAGAAATCTTTAAAGATTCAGCAGTAGTTACAGTGTCTTTGTCTACATTTGTAATACTACCTTCTTGTTGAGTAGTTTTGAGACTTTTTTTTCTTGGTTTTGTTAGATGAAAGCAGCTGTTAATGCTGAAAGGTGGTAGTACAGAATTTCCCCTGCACGGTTAAGATGAATCCTTTCTGATTTTGTCTTGTATCTCACTAGGGAATTGCTACAGGAAAGTATCATGCTGCTGTCCTTACCAATAATGAAGAGTGGGAAAAGGCTTGTGTTAAAGCTGGCAGGAACTGTGGAGACTTGGTCCATCCTCTTGTGTATTGCCCCGAGCTCCACTTCAGTGAATTTACCTCTGCTGTAGCTGATATGAAGAACTCTGTGGCAGTAAGATTTTTTTTTTTGTTTAAATTACATTTATTATCTGAAAATGTGTGTTTTCTAGATAATGTGCTGGCCTGTTGATAGCTGGCTGAAAGCTCTTCACGAGGGCTGTAATCTTTTAGAAATGGGCCATATAATTATGGGTTTCAGGGTCTTTAACCTGGGGATTTTGCAGGCTGTGTGTCACTACACTGATATTTGGTGTCAAGTTTAAACAGGGAAGCCTGCTGCAAAGGTATCTTTGGGCTGCTTGCCTTTTAAGCATGGCTCTAAGATGAATGCTAAATTCCTGGATGGAGACTTTAAGAAGCAAGGATGAGTACTCCTTAGATCGTATATAACCAACAGAGACAGTAGCTGGGAATGCAGAAACCGGGAAATTGAGGACAGAGACCTCGGGGATTTCTGTAGCTGCTTTTGCTGTGTTTGAGAGTTACAGTGTGTGCCAAGTTTCAAAAACACTGCAGAAGGAGCTTGGGTACAAGAGGAACTGAGCGGGGCTAGACTGCTACCAGGGATTAAGTCAAAGGATTTACAGCACTGTTGGTTTGCAAGGCTGTGCTTCAGGGCTCCGAACTAGATTTGCACAGTTGTCTTTTCTGTAGGCAAGAATAAAACATTGACATTTTATTTTCTTGCAAGATCAACTGTATTTTTATTATTTCTACAGGACCGAGACAATACTCCAAGCTCCTGCGCTGGGCTTTTCATTGCTTCTCACATTGGCTTTGACTGGCCTGGAGTCTGGGTCCATATAGACATCGCTGCACCAGTTCATGCAGTGAGTATGTTCGTATGACTGCTGACATTGTCCTGGGTGAGCAAGCTGGGTAAGGAAAACTGCTTGTGCCTGCAGATACTCTGAATTCTGTGCCGTCAAATTCAAAGCGAGAGATTTAGGTGGAGAAGAATTCTTTTGAAATGTACTGACTCTTCACCTGTGTTGGGAATTTCTTTGCTTTGGTAGCTACATCTGTTCATATTTTTCATTTTGGCTTTAAAATATTCTAGCAATCATTTAATCATCAACATGTATATCGTTGTAAACTTCGACAACTTGCCTGCTTTCTGTTCATGGCAGTAATCCCAAAATTCCATTTTCACTCTTATTGTTTTAAGATGGTTGACCAGAGTTGATCATCCTGCCTGCTGACCTGCAGCAGAGAAAACATTTGTTTCCTCTTGGGGGTTTCCCTTCTCTTTTTGGTGGAACTGATGTATATTCTTTTTTCCTGAAACATGAGCCAATTTACTCCTACTGGCTCTTTTTTTTTTTTAAACCCAATTTACTCAGCTCATACTCCAAATCCACGCTCATGCTGGATAGAACATTCCCTGCCCTGAACAATGCTAGTATAAATCCACGCTGGAGTCAGCGTGAGCTCTGTTCTCATGTGAGTCAACCGGTGTGTTGGTTTAATCTAACTGGGACGGATTCCGGGAGCAGCAAGGATACAGAAGCACAAGCTGAGCAGTCCTGCCAGGGACCCCGAGTATTCACTGTGGCCATGTGGCACCACTGCTCTTGTGGAATGAGTAGGAAAATTAAAACTAGGTTCAAATTACACAGTCTGAAGTGTGAATTGTTCTTTTTTTTTTTTTTTTTCCTAGGGTGAACGAGCGACTGGCTATGGCGTGGCTTTGCTGCTGTCCCTGTTTGGAGGGGCATCTGAAGACCCTTTGCTAAACCTGGTGTCCCCTCTGGGGTGCAATGGAGACTCTCCTG